AGAACAGTCTAGCAACTAATGTACAATACGAATCACCACCGCTACCACCAACGACAACAATGATAAGAGAAAATAGCAAAGGAAAGGAGTACAATACCACGCGCCGAACCACCAGTCCGACCCGGCCGACCCCCTCTCCTTCCGGGTACCTCCCAGTTCCCCCCTGGGCATGACGTGCTGTGGTATGGAATACCTCTTTGGTCAGCTTGGGTCAGGTGTCCTGTCTCTGCTTCCTCCCGGCCTCCCCTCCTCCCTGGCAGAGCATGAGACTCACAAAGTCCTTGGCCAAACCAAAACATCATTTTTATCAGCTTTGTTCCCAGCCCGAAAGTCAAAACACAGCACTGCACCAGCTACCAAGAAGGAGAAAAAATGACTGCTGCTGCTAAACCCAGGACAATAAACACATATATATATATAAAAGACAAGATTGATGGTATACTGAAAAATGTAGGATCTGAGCATGACATGAATGGTATGGAATAAGGGGTGGATACTATCCTTGGTTCAGCAGTAGCAGTCATTTTTCTCCTTAGTAGCAGGTGCATTGCTGTGTTTTTGACTTTAAGCCTGGGAACAGTACTGATAACACCAATGTTTTTAGTTGTTGCTCAGTAATGTTTACTCTAACCAAGGACTTTCTGAGTCTCATGCTCTGCCAGGGAGGAGGGGTAGTCAGAAGGAAACAGATACAGGACACCTGGCCGAAACTAACCGAAAGGGGTATTCCATACCACAGCACATCATGCCCAGTATATAAAGTGCAGGCAGTTACCTGGAAGAGCTAGATCACTGCTCGGGTTGGGCTGGGTATTGGTCTTCAGGTAGTGAGCGGTTTTATTCTCTTCCCTTGTTATTTCCCTTATCATTATTTTTACTGTTGGTAGCAGTAGTGACTTTGTTACTGGACTGTTCTTATCTCAACCCATGGGAGTTATATTCTTTCAGTTCTCCTCCCCATCCCTCTGAGAGCAGGGGGAGGAAGGGGGTGGGGTTGGGGGGTGGGAGTGAGTGAGCAGCTGTATGGTCCTGAGTTACCAGCTGGGCTTAAACCACTGTCGTGGTTTAACCCCGCCAGACAGCTTGTTAACTCACTCCCCCCCCTTCTTGCCCTCCCCCTACTCTTGGAGGGACGGAGAGGAGAATCAAAAAGAATGCAACTCCCACGGGTTGAGATAAGAACAGTTTAGTAACTAAGGTATAACACAAATCCCTACTGCTACCACCAATAATAGTAATGATAAAGGAAATATGAAGGGAAAAGAATACAACACCCCATCACCAGGCAACCGATAACTTGCTCCCCCCAGCCCGACCAAGCACTGACCGATACCTCCTCCAACCCTGCAGTCCACTCTAGCCCTGCCGGGTAACTCCCAGTTACCTCCTGGGCATGACGTGCTTTGGTATGGAATACCTCTTTGGTCAGTTTGGGTCAGGTGTCCTGTCTCTGCTTCCTCCCAGCTTCCCTCCTCCCTGGCAGAGCATGAGGCCCACAAAGTCCTTGGCCAAACCAAAACATCATTATTTTTTCAGCTCTGTTCCCAGCCCGACAGTCAAAATACAGCACTGCACCAGCTACCAAGAAGGAGAAAAATGACTGCTACTGCTGAACCCAGGACAACCACGACAGTGCATGCGTAAGTAGCATGCAAATATTATAATTAGTTCCTGGAAAAGCTATGAATATGCAGAAGTATTCTAATTATATAGCTGCTGTTGGCAAGTATCGAGGATGCTCACCTTTGCGAAGCAATTCGTGTGTGCACCGAGCGCTTCAATAAAGAACGCCTGCTTTCTAAAACTCCAAATTGAGTCTTATAGAGTTTCTCCAACCGACTTCTATGGTAACAGGCCCATGATACATCTGGCCATCAAGGCAGGGATGCAACATATAGATGGGCTCATGATCGAGGGGCGGACTTAACAATAGACACTATCGCCCAGCTTCATGAATGTGAAACTTGTTGCTATTAAGCAATCCGAGTGTTTAAAGCCTCTCTAGTATAGAGGATGACAGCTGAAGTACAAATATGGGGAGGCTTGGCAGATATCACACTCCCGCAGTCCCACCAAGGGAAGTGCCATGGTGGAAGCAACCACCAGATAGCTGGAAACATACACTGTGCCCCATGACACCACCTGGAACACTATCCTGGTCCTTTAAGAAATAAATCTTATGGCGCCATGACACCACAGAAAGAAGTGAGACAGACAATGGGAATAATTTCCAGAATAACCTCACAGACACTTGGGCCGAAGAGCATAGCATTGAGTGAGTGTATCACATCCTCTATCATGACACAGCCTCTGGGAAAATCAAACTGTACAATGGGTTGTTAAAAACTACACTGAGAGCAATGGGTGGTGGGACTTTCAAACATTGGGACACACATTTAGCAAAAGCTACCTGGCTGGTCAACACCAGAGGATCTGCCAACATGGCTGGCCCAACCCAGTCAGAACTTTTACATATTGTAGAGGGGGACAAAGTTCCTGTGGTGCATATGAAGAATTTGCTGGGGAAGACAGTCTGGGTTATTTCTGTTTCAGGTAAAGGCAAACCCACTCATGGGATTCCTTTTGCTCAAGGACATGGATATACTTGGTGGTCAATGCAGGAAGATAGGAAACTCCACCGTGTACCTCAAGTGGGTTTAATTTTGTGTGAATATAGCCAATTAAATCAATGATATGCTGTTGACTGCTATCTAACACTTCTAAGGCAGCTATATTCCCATCTCTGCCACTCCAGACTTTGAAAAAACATATGCTGTCATGATCATCAGCAGAGAATAAATTTATGGAAAGCCAGCAGCAGCGGAAGTTTCCCAGTACTGTCCTCAGATCAGAGGCAATGGAACACAACTCCCTTTTGATCATCACCCTAACAAAGAATGAACTTTGATGAAACCAATCAGCTCAGCACTGATGATGTCAGAACTGACATCAGCAGGCAACAGTACAACACCCTACACCATCTCTCCTTCTCTGACGGACAGATGAAGTCTGACGTCATGGACTGAATGAAGTCAACAAATTTTATAGGGCTGGTCCATGGACTAAGGAATGATATCTGTGTTTGTATGTGCATGTGTGTTTTTATATATATATATATATACACAAGGAGACAGGAAAAGTGATGGTATATTTAGGAAGTGTGGGACCTGAGCATGACGCAAATGGTATGGAATAAGGGCTGGATACTGTCCTGGTTTCAGCTGTAACAGTTATTTTTCTTCCTAGTAGCTGGTACAGTGCTGTGTTTAGTCTGAGAACAATGCTGATGACAGTGCTGCGCTTAATCTGAGAACAGTGCTGATGACACCCCAATGTTTTAGTTGTTGCTCAGTAGCACTTGCTGGGGGGAGTTATCCAGAAGGGATCGATTACTGCTCCAGGACAGGCTGAGTAATGGTCAGCGAGTGGTGACCAGCTGTATTGTATATCACTTGTGTTTCCTGTGCTTTCATTTATTTTCTTGTTGTTTCCTATTATTATTATTGGTATTGTTATTGTTGGTATTCTTTTTATCACTATATTTTACTTTATTTTAGTTATTAAACTGTTCTTATCTCAACCTGCAGGTTTCACATTCTTACAATTTTCCTCCCCATCCTGCCCACAAAGGGGGGAAGTGTGTGTGTGGGGGGGTGAGCAAGTGGCTGTGTGGTATTTAGTTACCAGCTCTGTTTAAACCACAACACCCTGTTCCATCCTGTTGGCTCTTCCCTCTTTTATGAATTTCTGAACATAGTTTAGTATCTCCCCTGTGGCCCTTAAGTGCCAGTAGACTTGCTCTTCTTTTTCTTTAAGTGAGGAATGCAAAAGTCATCATAACTAAATCAATGACTAAGGATGCCTTACTTATTCATGGTATGCTGTAACAGCTCATAGTAATATCAGCATACATTTTTAATTAGTGATTCATATCCCACTTGTTTACTATAAACATGCCTACAGCTCTACTTACTGTTAATTTTCAGAGAAGCCAGTGACAGCACACAAAGTCATCTTAGAATCATAGAATCATAGAAGAGTTAAGGTTGGAAAGGACCTTAAGATCATCAAGTTCCAACCCCCCTGCCATGGGCAGGGACACCTCACTCTAAACCATATCACCCAAGGCCTCGTCCAACCTGGCCTTGAACAATGACAGGGATGGAGCATTCATCTTGGTTTGGCACAAAAGAAAACCTATGGCAAACAATTTTTAAACAATTAAACTAGGCTAAATTTATATAAAACTCAGTTGGGGCTTAAGTTAAATGCCTCAAAATCATGTGACTTAGGACCATGACTTAACATGCCCCATAAAAGCCTTTACGGTAAAATATACAACCTATTTAGGTATTTAAATAAGTGTATATCAACACAAGAATTAAGATAAATCTAGCCACCCTCAAGTACAAAAGGCAACCCACCTCTGATAGTCTTGCCATCATATACTCCTTTCTCTGAGCGGTTGAAAAAGAACAAGAGAAATTACATTTTAACTCTACCTGTCTCTAGACAAATAAATGCTTATCTTTGCCTTGTAAAGAGATAGACAAGACTGAATAGTGAAGAGTTCGTGGAAGGAATTAGAGTAGTTTTACATCAGGTGTTGTATCAGGGAAACAGTTAATACTAATTCAAATGTTAATCACAGAACATATTTTTGCCAGACAAATTGCTTTGTATCTATGCATATTGTATATCACCACTATAGGACTTCATACTCAAAATATAACTAGTAGCATTTTAATAAATTTCACTTTCCCACAGCTTATTTTAGAGTTCACCTACCAGAGATGTAGCCAAATGCAACATCTAGCTAAGGTCAATCATGTCTAGGCTATTACCTCTATGTTCTCACATTTACTCATAGCAGCATTTAGCTGATACTATTTCAAAATGTAGTAGAGAGAATACATGCTATGAATGTATAGGATAAGCAAGTATCCTTCAAATAGCAGCTGCCTTATACAAGTACTTCAGTATGTTTATTATGAAAAAAAAAGTGAAAATCCTCTTCAAAACCTAAAGCTCTAATGAATCCTAGAGTACATGTGCCCCCAAATTTCCAGCTTGCAACCTCTTGTCTCTGAATTATAAATTACATAATTGTATCGACAGGATAATTTCTCTCAGAGTAACATTCAAAATTATGCTTAGAACTCTACCAATGGTGCATTCTTTCCCACTGTCCTCCTAAAAGAATTAATGTATGACTCTACACACATACACTGAATACTATTCCACATGATTTTCAAGAGCAAAATGAGTGGAACAATACATATATATTTCCAGAACAGTACCTCCAGTTATTGAGAACTATACTTCAGGAAAGATATTGTCAACTTACTTGTGGGAGGTTCTTTTCTTCATCATGTTCGCAGAGACTCCTGCATGACCTGCAATATAAAGGATGGAATTATTGAACAATGAAGTGTGTTTATACACAATGTCAAAAAAAGTTATCTTAAAGTAAAGTTCTATTTTTCAAGTAAAAAAAAAAATAAACACTTCATGTTTTGATTGATCAATTAGCTCCTACAATGGAAGGAGGCTCAGAAGAGACAAGCAAGGACTATATACTCACAAAGCTAAGTGAAGAATTAGGGAATGACTGATGACAAACTGTTTCAAAAAGCTAAAATTATCTCAACACAAAGGAGACAGAGGAGACAAAGGAGGTAGTCTTTGTTCTAGATAAATGGCTACAATAGTTGAGGGAAACAAATGGCTGTGCAAATGCCCTCAAGTTGGTAATACTAATAAGCAGCAGCAGCAAATACATATATTCCTGAGCTAGCAAGGCCAAAATGGGTGGGTGTATATGTGGTTCAGCCAAACTGAGAATAAAAACTCATTACAGAGCCAAAACTGAGTATAAAGACTCAGTATAGTGTATATAGTATAAAAACTGTACAAGAAATAGAAAGAACTTTGAAAACAGCAACAAACTTGAGCTGGTTTCAACCCACATATTCCTTTCCAATGACTTCAGGTGCCCAGCATTACAATGGAGACCAATAATGAAATCACATTTGTATTGTGATTCAAACGTATATTGGAACTGCTATACTCTGCTAAATATAACTTGTATTGTGATTTAAGTAAATTCCTGTATCATTCTGCTAAATCAAAGTCCCATGTAATGTCAACTTCCAAAAAATTCAAGTTGGTATTAAACATTAAACCTTCTACATATGGAAAATCTAAGTGAACTCAGACAGAGTGTTGGACACATGTATGTTATCACTAAAAAAGCCAGTCATGTATCTGTACAAACATGTTCAAATTTTATCTGTGAATGTTTAAATTCACACCTACAGAGAAATACTTGAGGTTTCTCTACAGATCCAAACAAATTATTTAACGTTACATGCATGTTTCAAGCATAGCTTTGGCATATGTATTTTGAAAATTAATTTTCATAATAACAGTGTCACACAAGAATTACAGACTGAAAGTGCAATTAGCCTTAAAAGTTTTCATAAATATTTTAATTTTAGGATTTTTAGATGAATAAACAGAATACATATCAAGTAACAGAAATGGCAGAATTAAAATAAGACTACATATATATTGCTTCCAACACTCATGCTTGTACTGAATCAATGAAAAGATGCATTTACAGATTTAACAACAGCTGTAATTTTAAGTTTTCAAAAATGAGTCCCTCTGATAATAGCTACAGTAAAGATTCTATTTGCAGTTTTTGACTATTAAAAGACCAAGTAAATAGAACTTCCCTTTGAACATGTTTATAAAAACTATCAGCTAGAAATTAAAATAAAAGATATCATAAAAGTTTGAATAGAAATCCAAAAGACCTTGGGACTTGACTCCAACCACTAAACAAGCATTCTCACTATATCAGTAACCACCCCTTAGTTATATAAGGAAAAAAAGTTTAGAAACATTAAAAAAAACAACAAAAAACAAACAACCAAAAAAAAACAAAACCAAAAAAAACACCAAATCTGTTATCACAAAGTAAAAAAACTTGAACACACAGATTTCATTATTTCCATTCCTGGTTGATAAGACAAAGTAAGATTTAACTAAATCAACTCAAGTACTTAAAAGACTATAGAAAAAATACCCACATGTTCGGCAGGGTGGTTCAGCACAAAACTTGTTCTCTGTCCTCTGCTCAGAGACTTTGTATCTTATACATTGCAACACATTTAGCCTTACAAAACCAAAGGAACTCTACAGGTACACAGAAGGAAGATTAGTGAAGCTGCAAATATCACAAAGGGGAAGCTACGAATGCTATTCAGAATGTTTGCCATGTTCAGTAACTGCTCACTTTAGACACCTCTTATTATTTATAAGACTCAAGCTCTACAGCCAGCTAAAAAGTTCCATTATATACCTCCTAAAGTATAGAGGCGATGACCACACTGGGAACTCAAGCCAGACCAGTTTCATGATCAATGAGTCTACTGCATTACAAGTCATTATCATGAAGTACAGTTAAACAATAACCTTAGTCCAGGCCCTCCAGCCAATAAACACTAAACCAGCAAATACTGGCTGCTAGAGAGGTATGAGATGCTGAGACTCTGAGATCAAGCATAACAACTCTGAGAGCAAATAAATCAATATTGTGACAAGTGACCATTAATCCAAAACAATGAGTGCTTATCACAAATAGCATTAGACATACTCTGCTCAGATCTGTCATTATCTCAACCCTTTGTGCCCCACTTTGGATGCCACAAAGAACTGTCGCAGTTTAAGCCCATCTGGTAACTCAGAACCACACATCCACTTGCTCACTCTCCCGCTCCCAGAGGGATGGGGAGGAGAATAAAAAAAATATAACTCCCACAAGTTGAGGTAAGAACAGTCCAGTAACTAAGGTACAAAACAAAACCACTACTGCTACCAGCAATAATAAGGGAAATGACAGGGGGAGAAAATACAATTGCTCACCACCTGCTGAATGATACCTATCCCAACCTGAGCAGCGAACTGGGCCGTCTATGTCACTCCCCCCAGTTTATATACTGGGCATGACGTGCTGTGGTATGGAATACCCCTTTGGCTAGTTTGGGTCAGGTGTCCTGTCTCTGCTTCCTCCTGGCTTCCCCTCCTCCCTGGCAGAGCATGAGACTGAGTTTATCAGAGTAAACTTTATTTAGCAAGAACTAAAATCATTGGTGTTATCAGTGCTGCTCTCAGACTAAAGTCAAAACCGCAGCACTGCACTAGCTACTAAGAAGGAGAAAAATGACTGCTACTGCTGAACCCAGGACACTCACTTATGTCCAAAACTTCTCAGCTATCCAAATACAATCTCCATGCATGAAATGACATGCACCAAACTAAGAAATTTTTACAATACTGAACTAAGAGTTTGAGAGGAGACTACCCTTTTTTGCTGTCAAGTGAAAAAGAGCTTTACAGTTCCTGAATGATTTCAAGTACTTGCTTGTTTATGTACCTAGTTCTAAACAAAAGCCAAATGAATACCGCTCAGTTTATTGTTTTGGTAGCTTAAGGTAGTGCCCAGTTTAATACAAAGTTATGGCATTTATATGAACAATACAGCCTACTTACAAGAGATAACAAGGTACACAAAGATATCAGGACAAGAAAGACATGGACCTGTTGGAGTGGGTCCAGAGGAGGAGAGCCACAAAAAAGATCAAAAGATTGGAACGCCTCTTCCTATAAAGAAAGGCTGAGGGAGTTGGGATTGTGCAGCCTGGAGAAGGCTCCAGGGAGACCTTACTGTGGTCTTTCAATATATAAAGTGGGCTTATATGAAAGATGGAAAAAGACCTTTTACCAGGGCCTGTAGTAACAGAACCAAAGAGGGGTAATGGTTTTAAAAAGAAAAAGGGTAGATTTAGACTGGATAGAAGAAGGGAATTCTTTATGATGAGAGTGGTGAGACACTGGAACAGGTTGCCTAGAGAAGTTGTGGATTCCCTGTCACTGGAACTGTTCAAGGTGAGGTTGGATGGGGCTCTGAGTAACCTAATGTAGGCAAACATGTCCCTGGCAACAGTACGGGGGGTGTGGGGGGGTGTGGAAACAGATGATCTTTAAACGTCCCGTCCAACCCCAACCATTCTAGGATTTTAATAAAATCATACTAATACTGACTACAAGCCTATTTGGCCATAATACACATGTATTCCGTACTGTCTGAATACATTAATGTCTTGAGGAAGTGCAAACTCCTTCAAAATACAACTCTGCTTAAATTGTGCTGCACTTCACATCCTCTGAAACTGTAAAATAAGTTCACTGAACTGTGAATATTTCTCTCCCATAGCAGCTATAAATAGGGAGATGGAACAACATGAAATCCTTATGTTTAACATCCTGTAGTTTTATCCTTACAGAGTAAGGCCCAAAACAAAATTACTCAATGAATCTGCCTGTCTGAATCTATCTGTTTTTCAGGCAAACTACCTCAGCAATGTAGTTTTTACAATGTAAATGCAAAAAAACCCACCAAACAACACACAAAAACCAAACACTCCCCCCCCCCCCCAAAAAAAAACACAATAAACCAACCCCAGAAAACAAACAACGCAAGAACAGTGCAAACTACTTGCATGGTCCAAGTTCTATAGCATCCAGATGACTGGAATTGTATTGAAACTTTAAAGGTGTGGAGAGGTTGGTGATTAATATGTCACCTGTACTACTTTATTTCTCGCTCTGGAAAGTATTTTCATTACTACTAAAACAATATACCAATGAGCCTTGAAATCATTAGTGAAGATTTTGACAACAAGACAAGTCCAGTGAGAAAGCATCATAAACAAAGTGCTCACACAGTTCAAGCACATGTAACAAAGCATGTTAAACATTCAAAACAAAAACTCCCTGGCTCATGCCCTATTAAGTCACAAGAAAATGAACTATACAATCAACTAGGTTGGAAAAGACCTTTAAGATCAAGTCCAACCATAGCCCCAGGACTGCCAAGTCCACCACTAAACCAGGTAACTAAAGGCCTCGCCAACGCTTCCAGGGACAGTGATTCAACCACTTCCCTGGGAAGCCTGTTCCAAAGTATAATCACCCTTTTGGTGAAGAAATTGTCCCTAATATCCAATCTTAACCTCCCCTGGTGCAGCTTGAGGCCATTACCTCTTTTCCTATCACTTGTTACTTGGGAGAGATCAGCCACCCCCTTGCTCCATCCTCCTATCAGATAGTTGTAGGGAGCAATAATGTCCCCAGAGCCTTCTCTTCTTCAGACTAAGCAAACTCAGTTCCCTCAGCTGTTCTGTCAGGGTCCAACTGCAGAAAATCCCAGTGTCAGACCCTGTTTCGTTCATGATCCCAAGAGGGAAATTAAGAATCAAACAAGGTCAAGTACCATAATCGATTAGTAAGTCAATTACAAAATGACAATTATTATAAAAAAAGGAAA